ATCTTTTTTATGCAGCCAACTCCCTATGGCTTAGCCGCATCATGAATCTCTCTGGTACTAATTACCACATAACTCTTTTGCCAGATCACAGTAGTAATCTTTTATATAGAATGAGAATGATGAGTGCTGTAGAAATTTTATCATTCATATTTTTGTTAAGCTTTTATAGTCATATTTTTTTCCACATTTTGGTTAAGTACCTCTTTAATAACCTGTATTTATTTCTGTACTATTTGGATATACTTTTAATTACCTCTAATATTATCTACTTTAGGGATCTCTGGTGGCCTAGTGGGAGCTGCATTGCCAACCCTTAGGCGCACATGGGAGAAAATGGGCAGACTCCTCCCATGTGATCTACTGCCTCTGAAAACCCACTGGAGGGTCAGCTATGAGTCAGTTTCCACCTCAGTAGCACATAATAACAACACTATACTACTTTTTTAATTCTCATTCTTGTTCATATTGCTTTAAGAAGCAGTTGAATGATAATGTGAAAAACTTTCTCTCCATTGAAAACTTGCGTATAGAAACATTTTGGAATTTTTATCCATCTTTTATTACATATTTTACTTGCAAGTGCTTTGGTGATGTAGTCTGTAGGGAGTTGCACTGCTAACCCAAAGGTCATTGCTTATCTGGTGGTTTGAATCTACCAGTAACTTCATGAGAGAAAGATGGACGTGCTCCTCCCATGTGACTTACAGTCTCTGAAAACTCATTGAATCAGCTTTGCCTTGATGGCACTGATACTTGTTTAGATGCAGATACTGATAGGTTAAAGAATTCTCCTAGGTGGTCATCATCAAAACAGGATTGTAGTTGGTTTTGTTGTTTTTCTACATTACATAGTCAGTAGTCTCTGAATCCTAACTACACTTGAAAAGATGTGATTTATAGACTTTCCCCTCTATAATTGTTACCTACACTTGACTAATTCTCTGCTGTTAATATTAACGCTTGACTTTATAGAAAGTCATTAATTATTCATTTCTAAGAGAGTTAACGAATTTTAATTTTTTAGTCACATCATACTTAAATCATAGAATTAGTATAGAATTTAACTTTGAAGCAGTCTTTTAATGATTTCATTGAACAAGTTAAATTTCTTTGGGAAATATTTGTGATTCTCTCCCCAAAAATCTCACAGCCCTTTAATGTTTCCTGATTGAAAACAAATACTCATTATAAAAATTCAACTTTTCTGTAAACTTTCAATTGAAATCACAGTTATAAAAAGGAGAGGAGAAGAAATGACTGTAGTTTTTGTTTTCTCATTTGACTATAGTTCTCAGATTACATGTACAAATAATCTGTTAGCTTTAAATGTCGGGGGGCTTTTTTTGGTGAATGTTTACAAATCATTGTTTTTTTCTTTCATTCATAGACATTATGTTTTATAACATTAATTATAATTGGTTGATATAATTAGTTACAGTGCCTACTAATTTTTTGTTGATTGCCTTTCTTTTTGTTCCGTTTAAACTATTAATTTTTACCTTTCTCTCTTTGAATTCCTGATAACCATCCAAGATTGGTTCTAATCTGTGTATAAATGTTTCCTTAGCTTTTCTAATAGTAATCTTATGTACCATAATTACTATTTTTTGACTGACTTATGTTACTTAGTATAATCTGTTATAGATTTGTCTATGTTGTGTATTATTTCACTAATACTTGATTGTTATTAGAACAGAATATTCTCTTGTGTAAATGTACCATAGTTCCTTTGGTCATTTGTCTATTGATGAACATTTTGGTTGTTTCCAACTCTTTGCTGTTGTAAATAATACTGCTGTAAACATGGGTGTGTATATGTCAGTTTATGTTACACACACATATATTCTAGTAGGGGAATTACTGGATCAAATGGTATTTCTGTTCCCAACTTTCTAAAGAAGTGCCAAACAGCTTTCCAAGGTGATTGCACTATTTTATTTGCATTCCCATCATTAGTCAATGAAAATTTTACTCTTTCCCTACCCTCACCATCATTTGTTTTTTTGCTGTCTTACTGGATATTGCTATCATTGTGAAGTTGTGAGAGCTTTTGTACACAGTTGATTTAATTTTAAATTTCAAAAATCTAGTAAGATTACCTTTTCTCTATTATTTTACGTTATCTTTCACGGTTTAATTTTGTAGAATTCAGATGACTTTTGTGTAATAGATCAAGTCTACCTTGATTATTCCCAGCTGAATTTAAATTTTTTCCCATTACCATTTCTATGCCATTGAAGATCTGAATTTGTTTGGTCATTTTTGCAACAAGTTCAGAATCTACTTTTGACAAGAAACTAGTTTCATTTGTAAAGTTTGCTACGCAAATGGTTGACTTCATCAGATAAAAGTAAATATGTGTTTCATTTAGTTACCTAAATGATTTGGATAGAATATCACAAAACAACTATATTCCAACTCAGCAAGATGTTCTACGGACTAGAGTGAAGACTACAGGCATTGTGGAAACACATTTCACCTTCAAGGATCTGTACTTCAAGTAAGTCCTTAGCCCTTTTGCTCAATACAAGAAACACAAATATCTTTATACTGAGTATCTGTTATCTGGGATGTAGACATTTACCATCATAATTATCAACCAGTATTTAAATATTTTAACTGAAGAATGATAAAACAATCATATCTTCTTTCTCTAAATGGCATCATATATTTTTGTCTCCAGAGAAGAATATAAATTAAATATGAAAATTGTGATTTACCTACTAGGTAGATTTGAATATGTGGTTGCCAGTTTATTTTACTTTGAATTTTATCCTTTTCAGCTGCTTTTTTGTTGGACTCATCAAAACAGGTATTGAATGTTTGTTTTTAGAAGAATAACAACAATACTAAAATGATAGAAAACTAGCTTTTGGTTTAGTTAGTAGCTTTGCTTTCCTGTTGGGTTTTTTAAAAATTTTTATTTTTTATTTCCATTCATTGTTGCACTTTTCTCCCTGCCCTCCCCCCCCCCAAAGTAGACTCTTCTCTTTGAAAAGTAAAGCAAAAATTCTTTCATTGTTTTACAGTCCCTCCCCTTAAGTCCACTCCACTATGCAGCCTTCATTCTAGACTCCAGTTATGACAATAATACCTAATCACATAACCCTTTTAAACAGTTATCTTCCTCATCTGTTTCAATGCAATATACTTTATTTATCCCATCTTATCAGTCTTCCCCCAACCCTGAAATCAGTCCTGTTTTTCGACAGTGGCACCATGAAGTGTTTGTCTTTTTTGACTGAGATATTTCACTTGGCATAGTGTCTTCCATGGTCACCCATTTTGAATACTATTTCGTGAGTTCCTTGTTTTTCAGTTCAGTATAGTATTCCATTGTGTGATTATACCACAGCTTCTCTATCCGTTCGTTTTTGATGGGCACTTTGGTTGTTTCCAACGCCTTGCTATGTGAACAGAGCCGCGATAAACATTGGGTGTGCATATATCTGCTTGGGTGGCAGTTACGGTCTCTGGGGTAGTGAAATTGCTGGGTCAGTTGGTATCTCTAGTTGCAACTTTTTAAGAAAGTGCCACACCGCCTTCCACAGTGATTGCACCATTTTACACTTCCACCAACAGCGAATAAGGGTTCCAGCTTCCCTACAACCTCTCCAGCATTTGTTGCTTGCTGTTCTGTTAAATTTCGCTATTTCTTACCAGGGTAAGATGATACCTCATAGTTGTTTTGTGGTTTCCTGTTTTTATATTTCATGTTGTATTTCTTTTTAATTGAATAGAGCTAATAATACTGACGTGCTTCTGGACTGATTTGTGCTCAGTATAACGTACAACTAAGTTCTTAGTACAGAGCAGAATGTAAAACTGGCCTGAGGATAGAAATATTTTAGGGAGAGATGATGATGTATGACAAGTGATTGTTTTTAGCGAGAATTCACATAAAAAGGATTTTTTCATTCATATCAGAAAGAACCCTCACACCCAACACTGTTGAGGTGAAACTACCTCATAGCCTTCACTCCCGTGGAACTTTTAAGAACTATAAATTTAGAAGTGCCTATCTTTCTGCTTCGAAGCTGGAAGTGGATTCGAACCACTAGAGGAATTGCCTTTGAATTAGAAGCCCATCTCCTAAAATAGGGTTCAACTTGCCTCTGTTAATGGTCTCTTGTAGATACTAGAACTGTGTTTTTGAGTTCTGAGTTCTACTTTTGTGACCTTTCAAGGTTTGAGTAAACTTTCTCCACAGTATCTGATAAACTTTTAATTACTTCATTATGTTCCTTTGTAGACTGATAATCAACATGCATAGGTACTTCTGCCTCAGAGTGGGCTTTTCTCAATAGTTGGTCCTCAGGATTTATGAAACCCGCACAAGGATTTAGATGTTACTAATGATTCCATGGTAGAATTCTCACCTCCTGTCAGACACAGATTCTGTTCTGTTCCTGGGTAATTCTTCATACATATCTAGTCACCTGTCTTTGGAAGCTTGTATATAGCTATGATACTGAATAGGTTTTAGTAGAATATTCATCAAAAAAAGACTAAGCGGAATATCTGAAATTCTGCTTCAGGAGATCAGCCAATAAAAATCAAACCTCTATAGGTCATAGTGGTTTCTGATCTGTAACTGATGGTGGAGGTAGTGCAAGGCAAGGCGGCATTCATTCCAAGGATGCAGGATCACCATGAAACAGAGTCCAGCTAGACAGCACCTAACAAAGACTATACAATTTGAGGACTTAAAAACTTAATCCAGCAAACCAGATTTTAAATCTGGTACAGAGAAATAGCAGTACACGGAATGAATAGCATAACTCTTTCTCTTTACTATTATCACTTCTTCCTTTTCCTCCTCTTCCATTATCCATTCATACATTTATTGAACGTCTATACAAGGCATTGAATAATTGCTTACTTGCCTTTCAGTTATGAGGTAATGTTTATAAAATATTGATCTGTTAGTGGGTGGTATTAAAATGTCAGAGTGTGCTAAAAGCTTACATTGGAATTTCCCTGTGTTCTCCCAGTTTTCTACTTTATAAAGTGGGAATGGTGCGTTTCCTCTTGAAAGACTTCATGGAAATATATGATGTCATCTTTCCTAAAACCGGTAATATCAGTGTGTAACCACATCATTTCATTTGTTATGACCATAGGTTGAAAAGAAGTATGCAGGATCCATCAGAATAGAAAGTTGGCTCATGAAGAGATATGATTGATGTTCATTTTCAGGTGTACTCTGAGAAGTTACCAACCATATCTTATTTCTCTCACTTTCTGGAGGGAAAGATCTTAAGACATTTTGGCTGCTAGTCCCTGTTGATCTGCCATATTAAACCAGTTGGACAGTGTTTCATCTTTAAAAACCTGATCATTGTAAAAAATCGAGATGTTATGAATATTTAACTATTTGTATGCATACCTTTTCAGACCTCAGCATCATTTACAAGAGGTAGATAAGGGTATTGCCGACAGAAATTCAGAAGTGGAATCAGGATATCAACTAACTAACCTCCCCTCCTCACATAATAGTCTGTACTTGAACCAAAAAAAAAGTAAAAAATGGAGACCTTGCTGTTATTAATTAGGTTCATATAAAATTTGGTTTAGTTGGAAATATTGGTTAAGTTTTCTAGTACTAGATTTCTTTAGGTTCTACCAAGTTATTATTTTTTCATAATCTCAAATATTTTTTCCTTTAAATAAGAAAATTAAACCTTTTTTCTCATATATATAAATTTTTATTCTTTTTTATTTTTTAATTACTATTTTAATGAACGTTTCCAGAAAAGTTATATTTCCATTCATTCATTGTTGCACATTTTCTTCCCTATCCCCCCTCCCTCTGCCCCCCAAGCCACTTTGCTTGCACCTCTTATTCTGGACTGTTGTCATGCAAATAATAGCTAATCATATATTTCTTTTAGACAGTTTTTTGCAGTGTTAATTGTTTACCCCCCTTTCTCTTAGTCCCCCCCCGAGCCCCCATGTCAGTCTGTTTTATTACAGTGGCATTATGCAATATTTGTCCTTTTGTGACAGATATTTCACTTAGTATAATATCCTCCACGGTCACCCATTTTCTGTAATATTTTATGAGTTCCTTGTTTTTCAGTGCTGTATAGTATTTCATTGTGTGAATATACAGCTTCTCTATCAATTTATTTGTTGATAGGCACTTGGATTGCTTCCATCTCTGCTTGGTTGGCAGTTCTGGTTTCTTTAGGGTATGTTCTCAGTATTGGAATTGCTGGATCAAATGGTATTTATATTTCCAACTTTTTGAGAAAGTGCAGTACTGCCATCCAGAGTGGTTGCACTATTTTACACTCCTACCAACAGTGAATAAGAGTTCCAATGTCTCCACAATCTTGCTGCCCTTTTGAACTTTGCTGTTGTTTCTGAGAATGAAATGATACCTCATAGTAGTTTTGATTTGCATCTCTCTTAGAGCTAGGGATTTTGAACATTTCTTGATGTGCTTGTTCACCATCTGAATGTCATCTTTGAACTGTCTGTTCCTGTCTTGTGCCCATTTTATGATTGGGTTGTTTACTTTTATCTTGTTGAGGTCCTGGAAAAACTATACCTTTCCAATTAATAGAGGTAATAGCAGAGTATAAGTTGGAGGATTTTTCTTTTTTCATTGTCCTCTTTTAATTATTGTTATGTTGTGCTATCGAGAATAACTCAGCGACCCTATGAACAACAGATCTGAACGCTGTCTTATCCCGCACTATTCTCATCTCTTGACACACTTGAACCAATTGCTGCAGTCACTGTGTTAGTCCATCTCATTGAGAGTTTTCCTCTTTTTCGCTGACCCTCTACCTTTCCGAGCAAGATACCCCTTTCTGAGGAATGTCCTTCTTAGCAACATGCCCAAAGTATACAATGTCAACAGTTTTGAGAGAATGGTGAAAAAGAGATTGGACTCTGGAATAAAGTATACTTGAATACTGATCCCCATGTGTTAGCAGTATTGCCTTGGGTAAATTATTTAACATATCTGTGCCTCAGTTTCTTTATCTGTGAAGTAGAGATAATAGAAATAGTGCTTAGAAGAGTTATTAGGATAAAATGAGTTAATGCGTATAAGGGTTTTTGAATGGTTTCTGGTGCTTTGCAAACACATAAATATTAGTAGTATTGCTATTATCGGAAACTATATTGTTCAGGCTTCATTTTTCATAGGTATTTGCTCTTCCTTCAGGTACTTCATTTTATTGCTTATGCTGCTGACTTTTGGAACATCAGATATGTAATTTAGTAATGAGGAAATAAAACTATTTCTCTAAATTAAGTATTTTAATTACTCCTAAATTTTCTTTTCTCCTCTGGTTCCCTTCTGCTTTTAACCATGGATAATTATTTTATCTGTATTAGCTCCTTGTTTGTCTTTTATAAAGAGGTTTTGCATAAGCAGTGGGAAATTTTCTAACCCTTTCCATTTAGAGACATAAACTTGTTTGACCTTATTGAATTTGTGCGTTTTTTTTTTCCTCCCCCTGTACTCAGGATGTTTGATGTAGGGGGCCAAAGATCAGAACGAAAAAAGTGGATTCACTGTTTTGAGGGAGTGACAGCGATTATCTTCTGTGTGGCTCTCAGTGATTATGACCTTGTTTTGGCTGAAGATGAAGAGATGGTATGTTTGTTGTATCTACTGCTAAAAAGCCTTTTTAACCCAGCTAGGATATAGAAAACATTCTTGGGCAAACTTTATGTATCCATTTAGCCAAGTCTTGATGTCCTTAATTATTCTCCCTGTCAGTGAGATTTAAAAAATTTTGATCTGTGCCTTCACATTGAAAAAGTGTGATAGCCCCATTGAGTATGCTGGTAGGATTAAGTCCTCTTGTAAGTCGACGCCTCTTCCCACCCTAAAAATGGAAAGGGAGGGGAAATAACTGACTCGGCTTTTAGATTATCATTATCTAACTTATTTCTGTGAATATTATCCAGTAGTTTTAAAACTTTTTCAGTTATAGTCTTTTATTTTTGCTGCTGGCCCATCATCCTTTGTTTCTTTTTAGAATCGTATGCATGAAAGCATGAAACTGTTTGACAGTATTTGCAACAACAAATGGTTTACAGACACTTCAATCATTCTCTTCCTCAACAAGAAAGATCTTTTTGAGGAAAAAATAAGGAGAAGTCCATTAACTATCTGTTACCCAGAATACACAGGTAAGAGGTCCTGAAAGATTTTGTTGGAGAGACGCATCATAAATTAGTGCTTTGATGATGTCCATCATATTACCTTTTTCTTTTGAACCAGGAATATATATTCTGTTCACTGGCAATAGTATCAGCATCAAGCAAATTGTTTTCCAGACATAGCTATATTTATTTTCCATTTATAACTTGTCATTTCTTGAGGTAAGTGCAAAAGGATTGAGTCAGAATTTGGCATAATTATATCCAGGGAAATAAAGGTATGAGTTGTGACTTTTGTACTCAAGAAATGGGTATCAGGCTGCAGAAGTAGAGATACACATAAATAATTTTATGCTAATATAAAATTAATAGAATTAGCAACAGTAGAAGTGGAAATACCACTTTATAGAGGAAATCCCACTTGCATAAAACATTAAACTGATGGATTTAGAGATTAACATTAGAGTATGTGCCATAACTGGAGAAAGTACTGAATATATCATGGCCTGCCAGGAGAACAAAAAGAGAGAGACAGAAACCAGGCAGCTCCTTGGAGACAAGGATTCTGAGGCTACATCTGCCATACTTAGGGCATGTTGCAAGGAGGAACCAGTTCTTGGAGAGGGACATCATGCTTAGAAGGGTGGAGGGACAGCTCAAGAGAGGAAGACCGTAGATGAGATGGATTGATTAAGTGACTGGGGTAACCGGGATGGGTGTGTCAGAGACAATAAGGTTGGCACAGGATAGAACATTGTTTCAGGGCTTTTGTACATAGGGTCACTATGAGTCGCAGGCGACTTGACAGCACATAACCACCACTACCACCACCACTATAGTTGAAACTGTGCTTTTAAAAAATTACTTAAAGGGAGTTCTAGTGGCAGGAAGCTGCACTGCAATCCCAGAGGTATGCAGTTTGAATCCACCAGATGCTCTGCTGGAGAAGGAAGGGCAATTTCCTCCTGTACCAGTCAGATCCGATTTAACAGTACACTGACACAAAATAATTTAAAAAAAACACAAATTTTTTTAAATAAAGAATGATTACTTAAAACATGATAATAAAGATGATAAGGGTATTGAATTAGTAAGGGCTCTTAGGATGCATGTAAAAAACCTTTGGTGAAATTACAGGGACATACAGCATAGAAGTCAAAGAGTCTAGTCAAGACTTAAAATGGAGTTCGAAATAAGAAATACAAAACTGTCAGGAACCTTAAAGCACTCTTAGCCCCTATCTCCTTTTCTTTCTTTGCTGTCTGTGTGTGTATGTGTGTGATACTTCTTTTTTACTGTTGTTAAAAATAAGTAGAAAATTTACTAATTTAGTTTTTTTAGGTGTACAGTTTAATGGTATCAGTTATCATAATCATTTTGCTCAACCATTACTCATAATCAAATTCCCATTATTGGTGTATTATCTTAATTATTCTCACTTAACCAATTTTATCTGTTATTGTTTAATGACCCTGCCATAATTTCCGTGTCTCATCCATTGAGAGTAGCTCTGGTGGCCTAGGGGTTAAAGAATTGTGCTGTCAGCTCAGAGACAGGTGATTTGAATCTACCAGTTGCTCTGTGGAAAAAGATGGACAGCCTTCTCCTGTGTAATGTTCAGCCTCTGAAAACCTGCTAGAAGGTCAGCTGTGCGATATTCCAGCTCCAGGACAGTGAACACCAAACAACACACCATGTATTGAAGAGTCTGGGAATTGCTTGGCTCTAGGTTCAGATTACTAGTAAAGAAATTCCAATCTAGGTTAAAACAGGCAAATATTTTTGTCCCGCTTACGTCAGTTGAAGTCAAGGGCACAAACATGACTTCTGTGGTTGGACCACTGTATAAACATTGTGACAGCGGCATCTCACTTCTCAAGGAAGGGAGACTCATCAACATAAAGAGACCAAGGCTGTCACACAACAGATATACCTCATCTCTCCATACATTTTACCAGTTCTGAAGCTGAACTCCCTCTCTCTACTACAACACACTTTTCTTCTGATTCAAGAATATTTTGCAGTCACCACACAGGAGTCACAGGTTAGACTTGCAGTTATAAAGTTTATTAGAGAAGTAACAGGCTACAATTTAGGATCAGTAATTACTCCAGTCACGATTATTTAGTTAGATAGTTTTAGATAGTTTTTTTGACTGTTCACAGGCAGGCCTCTCCCTTGACCTTGACCCCTTGAGCAGCTCTTGGAAGCTGAGCCCTTCTATTTGAGCAAGTGTTTTCAGAGGTCATTTGCACTTAGCAACAAGTGCCCAGGGGTACCCTCCTGTACCCAAGGTACTCAACTTTTCCTGTGGGTTAACAGGCCTGTCTGCCTGAAGGTCCCCTACTCTGCAGAAAGTCTGCCTGAAAACACTCAGTTCTCTTGCCTTTGGGGTCTGCACATCCATGTAACCGCCTTGCTTTGTGCCATCTTCCACTGATCTCTCCTGGTTCTCTTTTCCCCTCTCTCTCTCTTTACATTTTATATCATTTTTATTTTACAAGTAACTCATGTTCAAAGTGAAGCATTCAAAGATCAGGAAGAATGTAATGTAAAAGGTAATGCCTGCTCCACTCATATAAGAGTTAATTTTCCTTCCAGTAAATTTGACAAAATGGTTATTTTTTTAGATTCAGAAACATTTGGCTGCTCTTCTCCTGGTTCTCTTGTTAACTGCCGTTGTTTCTCTGCTGCCTCTACTTGTAGCATCTCCATGTGAAAGCATTCTCTGTTCCTCAGGTCTAGAATGTTCTCAAAGAAGGGATTTCAGGTCCAAAGACAGACAGACAAACAGACACGCACGTGCGCGCGCGCGCACACACACACACACACACGTGTCACCTCTAGCATAGCTCATTTTAAGTGTAATGGGAAGGCAAACGGACCCATTGCCTTATTAGGGTCTTTGCATGGTCCCACCTTCACAGGTGTTCCCTGCATCTTATCTGTAAATTTAGCAAATTATCCTTTCCCTTACTGGATTGTTCAAACCTGTTTGCATAGCCCAGCCTAATATTTTGGTGATAGTTAAAAGATTGATTAGGAAAGCAATCTACTGTACAGCAACCATTATGACTAGGTCATTGTTGATAAGACAAGGGTGTTCTCAGGGAAGGAAAACTGCTACATAGGCACTGTGCATGCTTGATGATACAGTGGTTAGACACTTGCCTGCTAACTAGAAGGTTGGTGATTTGAACTCCCCCAAGGAGATGCTTCATGGGAGAGATGATTTAACATATACTGCTCCTGTGAAGATTATGATCTAGGAAATTTTAGAGCACCAATATCAGCATGGAGTCACTGTGAGTTAGAATTTACTTGTTGGCACCTAACCTAATATTTAAAGTGAAAGTATGGACGTGGAAAGAGTCAAAGATTTCCTCCTATTTCTGTATTGACTGGGTTGTTGGTGCTATGATGTGAATGAATATTTAGGAATGTTGACTTGAAATATCTGTGGAACATCCACACAGAGATAGCTAATAAGCAGTTACATGTGTGGCCCTGAAACTTGAGGAGAGGTAGGGGTTAGAGAGTACTGAGAATCATCCATTGAAGAAATTAATGAGGTGAACAAGTAATAATATCATGTGGTGAGAAGAGAAAAGGACCACTTCTGAAATGAGAGAAAAGACCAATTGCTTTTGACAGGAGAGGGATTTGTATAGGGTACAAAGAGAAAAGCCAGGAGGAAGAGTTAAGAAAGGGGTAATCTGCAATGGCAGTGTGCAGACAAGTAAAATAAGATGTACACAGAAAAATAGCCTTTGGGTTTCGCAGCGTGGAGGTATAGACTACTGGAGCAGCTAGGGTCAAAAGGAGAATCGAGACTTGAGGATCAGAAATAAGACAGAGTAACAAAAAAAAAGCTATGAAAACTAGATGTTATTTATATAGCTTGATTTCTGAGTATGTGGGAAAAGTAGGATGACTAAACAAATTGTGATATATATTTAAAGGAGTATATAGCCTTAAAAGTATATCAGCCATAAAAAGGAACAAATTACTGATAGATGCTCTAGACAGACTTCACACAGAGAAGTGAAAGAAGCCAGGCACGAAAGGCTGTGTGCTATGATCATTTCATTTGTATGATCTCTGGGAGAAGCATATTCTATTCTTAGTGATTGGTAGTTGGGGGGGGGATGAGAGGAAAGGGAGTTGGAGTTTGATTAAGGGTTGTTACTGTTTTTACCATCAAGTCAGAACTGACCCATAGCTGACCCTCCGGCCAATTTTCAGAGGCAGTTAACTGCTCTGGAGGAGATTGCCCATCCTTTTGTAGAGCAGCTGGTGACCTCGAACCCCATGCCTTCAGGATTGCAGCATAGTTTTTTGCCACTAGGCCACCAGAGCTCCCTTACCTTTTTTTTTTTTTTTAAGGGGATGGAAGATAAAAAGTTAAAACTAGAGAGAGGTAGTAGTTGAGCAACATTGTGAGTATACTAAATGGTGCTGAATTGTATGCTTTAAAATTGTTAATTGTGTGTATTCCCCTCAGTTTAATTCTTTCAAGACCAGATTTTCTACTTAGAACTTTTTGTTGGAAAGATTTGTTTTCAGTAATTGAAATCAAGATGAAAAATTTTTCTTCTTTTAAGTATTATGTCTCAAGTGGATTCTAGTAATAGGTTTGTTTGGGGTGCTCCCAGCACAAGTTACATTTGGGTAGCAGCTTCTTGAGAACCTGAGATGCTGAAAATCCTTGTGTGCAATATATGTCCTTTGAGTCATGAAAGAGTTAATTAAGTAAAGAGTCGTAATAGAACAGTTGATTTTTGAACTTGAAAGAAAACTAGTATACAGTCATTTGTAAATATATGCAACTTCCTCCACACTACCCCCCCAAATGGGTCACTTTTAAAAGTGGAATGATAGAAAGTTGAGATGTAGCTTAAACTCCCTGGTCTCTTTTTCTGTCAGAGAAGTTGGGAATGTTATCTGTTTGGAGGGAGGAGAAAGGTAAGAATTTGGTAAGGAGAGTATAGAAATTCTCCCAGTTTTAAGATGGGAGAAAACTCTTGAAACAAGCAAAAAGATTAGCATTAAATTTGAAGGCCTGGTTGGGAATCTTCAGCATATAGCAAAGAAATCTTCAATTCTTTCTTTATATTTTAATTTTCTTGTTTTTGTGTGGGTGTACCGTCAAATCAGATCTGACTGGTACAGGAGGAGATTGTCCCTCCTTCCCCGGCAGAGCATCTGGTGGATTCGAACCATGCGTCTCTGGGATTGTAGTTGCAGCTCCTTAGAAATCTTCAATTCTTAATGTAAAGTTTTTCATGTGAATTTAAAGTAAATTGACACTTTTTTTATTTTCAGTTGTCAATATTTGCTGTATAAACTCTTCAGTCACCCTATTTCCTTTCATTTAAAAAAAGTTGTTCTACAGAACTCAATAAACATACTCACCAAACTAGCTTCTTTCAGGTCTTTAACACATTGCCGCAAATGACGGCAAATGTGTTTCTAAGCACAGTCATCAATTTAAAAAATGTGCAGCAACATGATAACCTTTATAATTACTATCTCAGTTACCAATATATTTCTTATTGTTCATTCTCACTTTTCAATCACTGACCTCCTTTAATTGTCTTCAGCAATAAAAATGCTTAAGGAATAACAGATATTCTACCGGTTATTTAAAGAACTGAAGGAAGACACTTTGGTGGGAATGTTTCTTGAATTCTGCAGGATGACCTTTAGTCATCTTTTATCAGCTTAAGGGAGCTGTGGGTGTGGACTGTGGGCAGCTGCACTGCTAACCCCAAGGCGGCACCTCTGTCAATTTGAATCCACCAGTGCCTTCTTGGAAGAAAGATGAGCATTGCCATCCCATGTGATTTATAGCCCCTGCAAACCCTCTGGAGGGTCAGCTGTGAGTCATTTCTGCCTTGAGTGAGTGAGCTACAGATTTAGTTGTTGATAATATTTGTCATGTTTAATGTGATGGGAAATAACCTCTGGTTCATTGGAATGACTGGACACACCTCTTTGTGTTTTGAGTACCCTTGACTCTCAAGGCAAAAATGGGACAGCATGCTAGTGATTAAAAATGTTAATAACAGATGTTGAAAAAGAGAAAGGTTACTTTTGATCTCCTTTACCCTGTTCTGAAGTGTAATTCACAGGCTTCTTTCTCATTTGCATCTATATTCTCTCTCTCATTGTTGTAAAGTCAGATTCATTGCTGTGAATTTGAACTGCCTTTGGGATAGAAGAACAGCTCTCTGTGGATCCTGCCACCAGAGCTCCTTTTGCCTCTGTTAGTTTACCTTTAATTATTTAAAGAATCTCTGGTGGTGTAGTTAGTGACATATCTGGCTCTTAGCCAGAAGGTCAGCAGTTCAAAATCCACCAGCCTGTACTCAGAAGAAAGATGGCCAATCTCTTCCTGTAAACATTTACAGCCTTGGAAACCCAGTGGAGAGTTTTTCGCTATGTATTGCAACCAACTCGACTTGTCAGTGGGTTTTGAATATTGAAAATACTGTCTTTTTTTAAATTACTGTCATTTTTGTGTGTGTACCATCAAATCAGATCTGACTGGCACAGGAGGAGATTGCCCCTCCTTCTCCAGCAGAGCATCTGGTGGATTCGAAGCGTGTATCTCTGGGATTGCAGTGCAGCTTCTTGCCATGAGGCCACCAGAGCTCCCTGAAAATACTATCTTGAATGCTATCACAGTAAGCACTGAGGAGTGATGGTGAAAAGGCTTTTTCGCCTTTCAAACAGTTGTGTTTCTAAAATTGCATCCTTCCCACATCCTTGGTTTCGTTTTTTGTTGTCTAAAATTATCATAGGAAAACTTGGGAGAAGAAAGAGACTTCTGAAACCTTTATTTTCCTTTATCTTTGTGTGTGGCAGTGTAATTTTACTTAGAATAGTCTACTTTCATGAAAAATAGATAATAATAGGAAAATCTAATAGTTACAGAAGTAGAGAATTCTGTTTTGGTCATGTTCCCTCTTTTTAAGTAGTGATCATCTGATCTGAGTTCAGGCTGCTATTGCAGCATGAAATGAGGGATTTTTATTGGGTGTCTGTTGTAGGTTCCAACACCTACGAAGAGGCAGCTGCCTACATTCAGTGCCAGTTTGAAGATCTGAACAGAAGAAAAGATACCAAGGAGATCTACACTCATTTCACCTGTGCCACAGACACCAAGAATGTGCAGTTTGTTTTTGATGCTGTTACAGATGTCATCATTAAAAACAACTTAAAGGAGTGTGGACTTTATTAAAGAGTGGGTGTGTCCATAAGAGGTAAAAATTTGAAAATTTAATTACAGTGCTAAAGGGATTTCTCTTGACTTTGTAAAATATTTTCTAATTGAAAGTATTCTTCCTTTCTAGTTATTACAGTGTGGAGTATTGAGACCAGACTTCTTTTGCTGTCTCATGGGACAGCTGCAAGCATGAACGGGACCAGGGAATGGCAACAGCATGCAGAATCTCAGCATTCTTTAGCACAATCTTCTATATTAGGGAATTTTCATTGGCATGAGAAAGTCAGACATTGGCATTGGAACAACTGTAAAGTATGATTCAAGCATCGAGCCTTCACTTGGATTTCATAATCTCAGATGTTTAGGGACGATGTGAAGTTGAGGTGCTGCATTCCAGAACTTCAATATGTAGCTGACTCCTTCCCCCCCCCCCTTTACAAACCACCAGTGGTTGTTCATTTTTTAAAGTTTATTCTTTTTCCATCAAGAGAAAAATAACTTTACTAAATTTTATTTGTTTGCAAAAGCATCTTTATTAAAACACAATGTTTTAACTATGCACATGATGTGATCAGATCATCTGGAAAACTTCCTCTTAGTAGGAACTCTTTCTCTTTTTAATACTTGGTATGACTAGAATATATTGTTTATGTAACTACTTAAAATTATTCCCAGTTCTTAGGGTTATAAGTGCAGCCTTTTTTTTTTTTAAGATGAAATTTATGTTACTATTCTGCTCAAAGTACCATTATGGTTTCAAACCAGAAATTACACCAGAGAGTTCTGCAATAAGGTTCTGGCTCGCTCTTTCTTTCTTTTTTTTTTTTTTAATTGTGGTGAAGATTAACCTGGTTTATGCGGATTACCAAATTACTAGATAAATACTGACATAGTATGATAAAACCAGCTTCTTGGGTACAGACACGCCCCTGAGTGGCTGCCAATTAGCAATGCAGTTACTAAATTCCAAACCTACCGACTTTGCTGCTACATATCTACTAAATTGACCAGTTTGATTCTTGTGTGTTTGTCTCAGTCAGGGAATTTTGTAAAAGATGCCCCTTGTTTTCCATCTTCATGGTCTTTTCTGTTGGGAGACATGTAAAGTGTATTAACAGTGCATGCTTTTACTTTGTAAATGTGGTGCCAAATCCCTGTTTGCCATTGTTTTTATTGTAGCAATGTTAACTGTAGTAATTCTTTTGCTAAAACTGTTGGATTTTGGTACTTTTTTCTACTTTGTCATGTGTACAGATTTTAATCTGTTATAGTTGGCAGCAGTATTAAAATGGTGAGTAAAGAGTCCAGGATTGCTTTTATTTGTAATTAGTCCTTTCTGGGAATGTTTTCTTCTGTTCCTTTTTTTGCCCTTGCTAAATGTTCTTTGGCCTTTGTCTGAAAATAGATTTAGGTTTGAGGGTTCCCCTACAGTCTAGTGCTTTAGTGTAATGGTATTGTTGGATCCTGGCCTAAGACTGAAAGTAGTCTGTCATATCCTTGTAAGTGGTATGCAGTTGTAATTCTTTTCCAGATTTTACTTTTTGTCTTGTGGAAAGCTGTATTCACCCTGCAGGTCCTTTTGTACAATGTACAGCAAATGTCTTAATATAGAGAATGATCTATTGAGGGAAGGCAAATGAAAAGAATGCATTTTAAGCATTTCAGATCAGTAGTTTTTTGAGCAGTGCCTTTTGGGGTCCAATCTTTTTGGGTTGGATTCTACTTTATCTTTTGATGTAACTTTTTACTAGTTAAACACAACAGCTGATGTCACCAAAGCTGCTTCAGAAACAAATACACAGTAGTTCAGTGCCTTTATTGGTAGTTTTTCTTTCCTCCTTTTTTTTTTTTTTGTGGTGGGGGTTGTCTAACTTTGCAGGTGGTGCAACTGTATTATCTAACAAAATCTTTTTTTCAGGGGTGGGAAAACTATCGGAAAGAAAGAAAATTACTGCATTTCAGTTGGCAACTGACTTTTATGCCCACGATGTAAATAGGATAGTTCTTATTTGTTCATTTTAAATATATTTTCTCTGTTGTATTCTGTAATACTGGGTCATCTGGAAATGAGAAATGGTAGAATACTGTTTTCATACTTTGAGCTAATGGAATAGTGGTGTTGACAATCTAAAATAACCCAAAAAAAGTTCTTTTTCTTTGGAATGCATTTTGTATTTTTGTTTTAATATGCATATCTAATAATAGGTCATTGTTTTCAGCTCTTCTTTCACAAAAAATGACCATTCTTTCAGTACAGTTTACATGTTTCTGAATTTTCATGAAGATTATATTCACTCCACCATCTCACATTTTTATCTAAATGAACATTCCTTGAGGACACATAAAGGCAGTTGAAATCAATGGTTCTTAAAATATGACTTAAGTAAAATAACTTGCACACATCTCAGAGACTGACTTTTGTCTTGGGGGGGGGCTTGTATGTTACAGTTTTAAAGAGGTAAGCCTAATCAGCTAGATTTGCAGATCAATAGTTTGTATTTTGGAATGAAAGTTCTCACAGGAGAACCGGAAGGTGGGGATGAAATAACAGATCTGTTGGTTAGCTTACAGGACACGGACTGATATTTATAGTTAAAGATGTTAAAAGCTGTCTTGCATCTTCTCTTTGGAAAATACTGGCTATTTGTGATCAACAATGATTCAGAATTTAGGTGACTGGGGCTTTGGACCATCTGAGAAATCAGCACATTCAAGGAAATGAAAGTTTAATGCAAAGATAGACCCAAACAAGAAAGACTGCAGCAATATCTTTTTTGTGGACATTGTCATCTTTTCTACCTGATTATAAACATGAGCATAATATTGCCACCCATTAGTTTCCACACAAAGAGGAATTAATCTGCTCCTTAACATCCATTTTTCCTAACCTTATAAAGTCAGCATTACCTTCTGGAATGAAAATACAAGAATCTTTACAAATAATTTGAGCAAGAAACTTGATAGGATGTTTTCATCTTGCTGAGTTTGAATTCTAAATCTCTTGTCAGTATTAGCATTTTCAGTGATGAATTGTTACTTTTCACAAGGGTGTTGCTTATCTCTGTAAGAATAGATTTTTGGGGTATTTAAAAAAGTAATTTTCTTGGCTTGTTTCATATTCATTTGTTCAGTACTTTTTGGGGGGTACTATTTGTTATGTTTTGGAGCATTTAAAAAAAATAACTACATACCTTCCTAATTCACTTATTTTGTGTTTTTATGTCCTGGCCCCTCCTCTGTAGTTTGTAACTGATTTTCTGTGGATATTGTCTAATGCTTTAGCCTGATTGGTAGCTTATCCATTTGGCATAAACAAAACATTTCTGGAGCTTCGGTTGGTGAGATTTCATGCTGTATTGCACAGTCCAGTTAGTCTCTTAAAGCAGTTAGCAGCCAGCCTTTCATTCTTTTCCTTTCAGGTGTTCAAGAAATCCATTTTCTACTCATTTGTGCAGCTCTCAAATAGCACTGATTTCCTTCAGTCTCAACTACTTGTGAAATTTTTGTAAATCACATGTAATACTAACTTTCAGAGTAGTTCTGTTTTCCAGTACTGTGAACAAATTAGAGTTTTGACCTAGGCCAACTGTTGCTTTTCATGTAATACAGGTTTATGGTCATCATATTTGCTTAAATAGCTCCCAGCAAGCTCAAGAAAAGCAGACTGCCTAGAAGGTGAACTTGAAAGGCAGTCTTACTATCAACTATCAGAAAGGAACAAAAGTGTAGGGAAGCACTGGAAAATTTTTGAGGTCTTTTTTTATCTCTTTCTTTACCACTGTCACACCACCACCACCTTTAAGAATTTGCATCTGTTGAGAAAGCATACTTCCGAACAAGTCAAGGTAGTGTGCTTGTTCTGTTTCCACGTCAGGATGTGCTGGTCTGATTCCACCCTTCTCAGGGCTAAGATACAGTAAAGAACATAACACAGCCCTGCAACCTCAACTGATTTAATAAAATAGATTCCTTGGCTAAACCTTACTAAATTAAGATGTCTGAGCTAAGTTATGGAAATCTATATTATATTAACAAATTCTTTGGGTAATTCTTATGCATTCATCCTGGGTCATTGGGTGGGGGCTAACTGATTATTACCTCATATTAGAGATCAAGACCAAAAGTCACTTGAGCAGACAGATAACCTCACAATAACTAGTTATTAATTCTTAGTGATTATTAATGTGCCAGTAAGTAGCAACACCTTTTGTATACAACTCAGGCACATTCCACCTAAAAATTTTTATGAAGACTATTCAAAGAAACTTGGTTTTGCTGTAAATTCTAGTATTTAATATTTATACAAAAGACAAAACAAGAAACTTGAGGTAGTGGAGGTAGTGGTTATGTGCCATTGAGTTGCCCGTGACTTAACAGCAAACCTGTGTACAATAGCTCTGAACCCTGGCCAAATGTACAGTTTGGTTATACTTTTATTTATTTCACTTAGTAGTGAAAATTGAAAGGTAATATAAGCCACATTAAAGATTTTTAAAATCTTATATGTGGAATAACATGTACAATTTATAGTTTGTGATCAAAACTTGCTAGCTCTAAACTATAGAATTAAGTTATTTTTAGATCGCTTGGGAGAGGGTATGAATACAAAGTGATTAAAAGATGAAATACGAAGTGTATGTCCCAGTGCTTATTGCTTCACTTCCTGAAATCCTGACAGGGACATTTCTCACAGTAAGAGAAATAATCAAATTAATAAACAAAATTGTACATAGGGTTGCTATACATCGCCAGCAACACAATGGCACATAATAACAGTAACATACTGTGACTTATTTGGAAGCAGGAGTGGCATCCACTTCCTAAGTAACATGCTTCCGGAAACACTCTGAACTTTGATAAATGTTGATAGTTATAGAGGGGCTTCAGGCCTTTTGTTCATAGGGTCGCTATGAGTCGTGCTCGACTTGAAGGCAATCAGTAGCAACAACATTAAGCATACTACTGAAACATAGCTCCACATGTGAGTGTTCCCTACATCTGTAAGAGTTTTGAAA